GATCCAGGTCTCGGAGCAAAGGTCGATCACGTTCTCGTTCAAAAGGCAGGAAATCTAGATCAAAAAGCAAATCTAAGCCCAAGTCTGATCGGGGCTCCCGTTCGCGCTCTCGAAGCAGGTCGAAGGATGAGTATGAGAAATCTCGAAGCAGGTCTCGTTCTCGGTCTCGTTCCCCTAAAGAAAATGGAAAAGGTGATATAAAGTCAAAATCTAGATCAAGGAGCCAATCTCGTTCCAATTCACCCCTACCTGCTCCACCCTCAAAAGCCCGTTCTGTGTCCCCTCCACCAAAAAGAGCTTCAAGATCCCGTTCTAGATCTCATTCAAAGTCAAGGTCACGATCCAGATCGAGTTCCAGAGATTAACCCAGAACTCTACGTTCTTTGCACACTATTACGGAGAACACTTTCCTACTTGCTTAGGCAGTTACTCTTCCATGTTTGTACTTGGCCTCTTCTGCAAGAGGAATCTCCTGAAAACAGGGGCACACAAAAATTTGATTTGTGGCCAAATTTAATGAAAAAGATGAGGTTCTAAAGAAATAACATGAAGTCAAAGATCCTCTCCCTTCTTTGTAGAATTACGATAACTTTGATTTTGTAGCTTTTGAGCTAAAATAACTTTTGTAAAGATTAAAGCTCATTTAGATTTTTTTTTTTAAGTATTTCAGCAGGATCTGCTGCAGGGGTTGTGTTGTTATATTTGTTTGCTTTTAAATTAACCGTTTCAAGCTTTGAATACTTAAGGCTTTAGAGGGAGAACCCAATTTTCAATTATGTTGGCTTTTTATAAAGCTTGAGTTATGTAAGATTTCAATAAAAATTTGCTACCAAGATGATTGCCTTACTGAAAAGATCATTCTTAAATTCCTTTAAATACTGATAATCTATTAGTGGAAACAGTGTAAATTCTACTTAGTATAAAACAAGGCAAGCCTTAGACCAGCAATAAATTATTCAATTTGGATAACATTATTTTGTGCTGTTAATCACATCTGCCAAAGTTATACTGGCCCCTTTAACAGGTTAAGTCAAAAATAAAAGATTTTGTAGTCAATCTGTTATACAGCTTTGCCTAAATAGAGTTTAAATAATAAAACCTTATTCAAACTTGAATTTGATTGAACTCTTTAAGGAATAGTTCCTAATACTTGGATCTCATCTAGCCTGGTAATCCCACTTTCTGGAAGTGGTCCCTGTAGTTAGTGTTGTGTTAGAGTGTAGTTCCATGGTCTCATGTTTGTTACATAAAAATTGTAGTAGCTTTTCTTTGATCAGAAATTTAGTATATTCGAAATGGAAAAGGAAATGCTTCATTTTCTGTTGGAAGATCCTAAATATTTAACAGGCACTTAACAGATCACTTGGTAAATCAGTTGCTGATTAAAGTAAAATTCCACCTAACCGCCTAATCTTTGTAGTTAGTGGGGTTGTATGATAATTGGTTAGATCATCCTTGTAAGCTTTACAATGTGTGGTTGGCTTGGAAAAAATTTAAGTGGGTATACCCTAAATTTTTTGTACTTTATCATGAAGTATAATGAATACTGTGGAAACCAAGTTATAATATAGCAAATTTGTAGGAGTTACTGGGTTGCCAATCAGTCCATACATCTGCAAGCCTAATTAGTTGAAATTGCAGTTTGAGAAATTAACAACTTTATATATCTTTGTTCAGATTTTTAAAATAAGGTAGTTTCATGTAAAAAGCATTCATTAACTTCAGTGTGAG